AAATGTAATACCTGTGTTACCCTGCGCAAGTTGCTTACCCTCTCTCGGCCTCAGTTTTCTTTTCTGTAAAATGAGAATAATAAAGCATTGATCTCACAGAATATTTATGAGGATCGAATAAGATAATAATAAGAGTTGTTATAACTAATATTTATGTAGAACTTACTATGTGCTGAGCACTTTATAATTATTATCGCATTTGTTCTTTACAAAAACCCTGGGAGATAGGTGCTATTATTATCGCCATTTTAAAGATGAAGAAACTGAGACAAATAGGGGTTAAATGATTTGCCCAAGGCCATGCAATTAGTAAGAGTATCTGAAGCCACATTTGAACTCAGGTCTTCCTGAATCCAATGGCAGCAAAACTAATTACCTGATATAATATAGATAAAGTGCTTTGCATAAGTTTTAGAGCTACTTAAATGCTAGCTATTGTTATTATTATTGTCATGATAATAATGTGAAAAAGAGAATAAGCAGAAGGAGAAAAAGGAGGAGGAGAAAAAAGATAAAAAAAGAGGAAGAGTAGAAGGAGAAGAAGAGGAAGATGATTATTTTGCAGAAGGGCCAACAGAGATGGAAAGAAAGGCTACTATTTACTCAAGGTCCCAAGGTCAGAAAGTGGCAGGACCAACATTGAAATACAGCATGACTGACTCCAAATCCAACATTCTTTACATTGTAATGACAGCTCCTATTTTGATAGCACAATGTGGTTGATAAAAATCCTTCTTCACAATAATCTATTGAGGAAGGTAGTACAAACATTATTATACTTTTTACAGATGGGCAAACTGCATCTTCAGGAGGTGCAGTGAATTGTCCAAAATCCCAAAGAAAGGACCAGAACAAACCCAGATACCATAGTTCCAGGTCCAACATTCTTTGGCTGTACTATGATATTTCTATAAAGTAAATAATAATAGTTTAAAAAATTTCCAGTGTAAGGCTTATAGACTATCAATAATGATGATGATAACATATCACATTTATAATAGGGCTTTCATGATTTAAAAAAAAAAACACTTTACATACATCATTTCATTGGATCCTCAGGGCAGCCCTGTGCTGATTGGTCTACAGACATGATCATCATCATTTCGTAGATGAGGAGCCTGAGCCTCAGAGAGATAAAATGACTCTACAATATAATATATAATATACACACATGCATATGCATACATGTGCATGTACACATATACATATTTACAATGGACACAAATACATAAATGACTGCCCAGTGTGTTCATTTGTGTGTAATATATGTGCATAGTTTATGTTCCTATTTGTAAACATAATATATTTCTGCATGCATATGTATTTATATGCATATATATGTTTCTAGGATGATAGATATGAATATATATATATATATATATATATATATATATATATATATATATATATATATATATATATATATATACTGATTTTTTTCCCCTTTCCACCCTACTGAGTCAAGTTGAATGAATTAACATGCTCAGAGTCTTCAGTGGATAGTAACACATGGGAAGTACAGATTTTCACACTTACCTTTGAAATACTTGGGCACTTAAATTGTATGTTGCCCTTGATAAGTCACTGAACATCTTTCTGCCTCAGTTTTCTCACCTATAAATGATGATAATAAGAGTACCTCCCTCTCAGGGTTTTGTGATAGTAAAATGTGATAAAATTTGTAAAGTATTTTGCACATTACCTGGCCCATAGTGGGCATTATATAAATGCTTATTCCCTCCCTCCCTCCCTTCTGTCTCAGTTTCCTCAGCTGTAAAATGCACCTACTTTTTATCATGATAGTAGCTGGGATATAATAGATGCTTAATAAGTACATTTTCCCTACCCTTCCCTAGCTCCACAATCTGAACCCTCTTCTTAGTCCAGTGTTCTTTCCATTCTTCCACACTGTCTATCCAGCTGTAGTCAAACACAGGGTGACAATGGAAAGAACATTCATTGGATTCAGTCTGGGGGTCCAGTTTAAATCACAATTCATTACAATCTTCATGAGCCACTTTGAGCAAGTTGTGCAATCTCTCCGGATCTTGGCAAGCTCATATGTCAACTGAAATCATTCAGTGAGTTGATTATCAAGTTCTAGATCTCATAATCTAGCTCTAACTCCTATAATTATGTGATTCTTTATGTGTATATGTGAATCTCCATATGTAAACACATGCTATATACCATATAGAATACAGGTATAAGCTGTATCTTCATTATATAAAATAAATTTCAGTGTTTCTAATGACTGGTCTCCTGGAAGCTACTGAGTTCCTTAACACAGGATTTAAGGAATATCAAGGCAATCCCTTAATGTGGATTTGTGTTTCAGCCAAGAAGTGTATCACTTCCAAACTTGTACTATCCACAGAGAAGGCACTCAAAAAGTATTTATGGAATCAAATAAAATTGAGAACCTGATCTGATTTTATAGATCCTGATCAGAATATCTGATTCTTACTTGGACCAAAATTGGTTTCAAAACGATATAGAAGGACTTCACATAATTTTAGCCTATGACTATTATGTTCACATGCACAGTTAAATCTGAGTCAGTCCATACATTTTAGTGTGGTCAGCTAATGCTTGTATAGTCTAAAGTCCCTTTTTCTCCTCTCGACTTCTCTTTTTTGTTGCTTAATGTATTATGTCAGGACAAGCTGAAAGGGTTAGTTGTTAAGATTCTGCGCTATTGTGCTGAAGAGAGTCACTGAACTATTTCCATGAAACTCGTGAAATTCTAATTTGATATTTATGGGTTCCTCTGAGTTGGAAGGAACCTTAGAGCATAGAATGTTAGAATATAGAACACTAGAATGTAAGGGCAGGAAGAAACTTTAGAACATAAAATCCCAGGATATAGAGAATAGAAGGTTGGAGCGGGAAAGCACTTTGGAAAATAACATGTATGTATAGTATGAGAACCATTTCATTGGTTTTACTGAGGTATCTTTCTCCTGCATATCTGTCCTATATGTATGACATTCTCTATTTATGCATCTTGCTGATTTGCATTTCGAGAAGCTTTTTTTTAACTAGAATTTCTAAGAAATCATGTATCTGTTGGTAATAATAATGATAATAATAATAATAATGATAATAATGATGAGTATAGTGAGGTTGATAATGTTATTAATATTTAATTAGGGAAGGAGAAGTTATCTCCTTAAAAAAATGTTTCAACATTTTCCTTTTTCTACCTCCATTTGCTTTATCTTTTCACCTTCCCCACAAATGTATTTGATTAGCTACTGCTTTAAACTTTCCTTGGAAAAGCACCCAGTACCAGAGGCTGATGTTAAAAGTCAAACTCAATTGCTGGTTTCATAGATTCTATATCCTCTCAGTTATATCCCTAAGCATCTTCAGGGTGAGCTGAAGGTGAAATGGAAATAGAATTATCCACTGGCACCAGGGGCCGGAATAAAGAACTATAAAGCCCTATCAAATGGCACTTGAGGAAAATAGAATTGACAATAGTGCAATAAAAGCACTTTACTAATAGGCTATCCATTTTAGTTTTGGCTTATGTCTTACTTGCTTGTGAGAAGCTTGACATGTTGCTTCTGTTTGTCTGTCCTCAGAGAGGGGCCAGGGTTTGGTTTGATTTCATTTATTCTGATAAGTTGAGCAGAAAGGTAAGGAAAGCCAAGAAAAAGGAAGAAAAACTAACCAAATTACTTCATCATCTTTTTAAGGGTCTTCAAGACAATTAGCAACCTCCCTTTTCAGTACATGCCGGTAAATACTCTGATATACATAAGCCATTGTTACTATATGCCTGAACTACTGTATTCTAATTATTGCTCTAATCTCCAATTAGTTTCACACGTGCCTTCAGGGGAATTGCTTTTATGCAATGATTTGTTCACGTCATTCTCTTGTGTATTATTCTTTAACAAGAAAAAATACATTTGCTCACATCAAAATTCAGTTATTGAAAAAAAAAGGGGGGGAATTAAAAAAAAAACAGACTATAGCAGTTGTTACACAGTGCCTCGTGAACATGATGGTTTTGGGAAGGAAGAAAGAAAGTCAGTCCTGACCTATGTCCCCCAGCCTTTAATAGATAGAAAGTCTTTGTCTACGTGTACAGTCAGTTCTCAACATTCACAGATTTTTAACGACTGCACCTGCTAAGAGTATAACGTTGTAATGGTTTCCCCTGTCATTTAAGGTCTTCAGTATGGTACTTCCCTATATATAGGGCATCTTTCACTCTACTCTGCTTCAAAGGATACTCTACATCTTCTCTTAAACATATCCCAGATTTAACCATCTCTTCATTTTTGCAGTTGCTTTCTCCTGTTCCTGAAATGTCATTCTGTTTCTGGATGAAATCATGTTCATCTTTCTTAACCATGACTAAAAGCTACTCCTTCATAACCCCTAGTCAAAAATGTTCTTTCCTTCTTAGACCTTACAGAGCACCTTGTACCTCACCCATGTCCTTAAAATGTTGCATATTATCTTAAATGTCATTCTAAGTTTCCATCGAAGCTCAGAGGCAGCTCTTGGTGACATGGTGAATAGACCTTCCTGGAATCAAGAAGACCTGGTCTCAGATACTTACTAGCTGTGTAACCCTCACCAATTCACTTAACCTCTGTCTGCTTCAGTATCCTAATCTACAAAATGAGGATAATAACAACACCTACCTCCTGTGGTTATTGTGGTGATTAAGTGAAATAATGTTTACTGAGCACTTTGCAAAATGCTTTGTGCTGTAGAAATACTAGCGCTATATATATATATGTATATTTGTGGTGGAAATGATGATGATAATGATAATGTTCCTTGAGGGCAGGGGAGCTATCTTATAAAATTTAATTTGGTACCCACTTACTCTGCACTCCATCAGGGCACTGTAGCAGAAACTTGAGAAAAGTTGTGTTGTTGATCCAAATGGAAACTTCAAAGAAAAATTCTGTCCTACAGAGAGAGCTGTGCTATGTCATTCGGTCTACTGAAGATGTCCCCTTTCTCTTCTACAGGGAAGCTTTTATACACCCTCTGAGAACTGTATGCAACACGCATATAAATGGCACCGGAACTTATGTCACCTGCTTTTGAACACATACCAAGAACTGTATGTTTACTTCCTCATCCTCATGAAGGATATCCCAGATTTCCCACGAATGAAGCTGGGTAAGTAAACTTGTATTTCTACTCACCAACCATCACTATAGTGTGAGGATTTTTGGTTGGCTCACAGGTCTGATATTTAATAAGAAGGCTCTATTTTATGATATTAAGGAAGGAAAAACAAGAAAGAACTTAACACAGGTAAAGAAAAAGGGAATGCATTATATCTTAAAGTATACTTGGTATTTATTCACAATCATTCTCTTTATATTTTATGTTTTATGTAATGATTTGTTCATGTCATTCTCTTGTGTATTATTCTTTAACAAGAAAAAATACGTTTGTTCACATCAAAATTCAGTTATTGAACAAAAATGGGGAAAATTTAAAAAAAAACCTATAGTAGTTGTTACACAGTGTCTAATGAACATGATGGTTTTTGGAAGGTAGAAAGAAAGTCAGTCCTGGCCTATGTCACAGTGTAACAGTGATTGCTTGAGGCCAGTTTTACAATTCATTTCTCCCCTAGGGCTCTCTGGATTGGGATGAGTCTCCAATTTCTGCCTTTGCTCAAGCCTCTACCAATTTTGTCCCTTCTACTTTTAGGGATCCAAGCACCCAGGTTGCATTTAACCACTTAACAGGTTAGCTTTTTACAATTCAATATTTACTTTAAAGGTTTAGCAATAAAAAAAAAAAGACAAAATTCTATCCTCCACCAGCTCAGTCTGTGGAGAGGGAAAAGGAGTTAGGTTCACAGCTTAACTCAGCTGTTATGTATCTTAGCCCCACCAAGTAGCAAGTCTGCAATGCCCTGTTCAAACCACAGTCTTATTATCATGTTCAGTTCTCAATGGCACATGTTGGGGAGAATATTCATAAACTGAAGAGAACTCAAAAGAGGACAACCAGAGTGAAAAGGACACTTGAGGTTAGGCCATATGGGTATCAGTTGAAGTAACTGAGAATGTTTAGCCTGGAGAAGAGACTCCTCAAAGGGAACATGATAGCTGGCTTCAAGCATTTTCAAATTTACAAATTATCACATAGAAGAGGGATTTGACCTCTTTCAAGGTCAATAGATGAATTTTGCAAAAAGATAAGTTTATCCTTGATATAAGGGGTAAAAATTAAACTTTCCAACAATCTGAACTACCCCAAAATCAAATGAACTGTCATAGTAGGTAGTAGGTCCCCTTCCATTGAAACTCTTCATGGTTTGGACTAGGTGACTTTTAAAAAATCCTTTCCAACTCTAAAATGCTTTGATTCTGTAAAAAGGAATAACGACACCATAAATAAGAGTAAATGGTCTCTTAGAGTGCTTATGATTATGTACCACTTTATACATACCTCATTTGATTTGATCCCCACTCCAATCCTGTGATATAGGTGGTAGAAAATATTACTTCAGTTCTTCTTCAAGCATCTATGACATTATCAGAATCCCTCCACCAATGCAGGTATAGAATCATAGGTTCATAGACCAAATTAGACTTTCAGAGACTGGCCCAAGTGGTACAAAGCCACTGAGTTATGAATTCCCCAAGACTATGCAAGTGTTTGTCAATATATTCCCCCTTCTATCTCTCTACATACCTTGTTTCCTACCTCTGATGGTTCCATGTGTGGATGGTGCAGTGCTGGCTGGTAGAGAACCTGTGTTTTCTTGGTGTTGTCAGGCCAAAATTAGCACAAGCGACAGTTGATTATATTTTGTTGTATCTCAGTCTCAGAGGCTGCATCAACTGCACAAATATTGTGAGCAAAAAGTTGTGCACCACCTTCCCTCCACTTTAGACTTGGCTTATAGCCTTTTCAAGTTAAATAATGTATCATCAGTGCAATAGCTGATCTTGATATCCTTATTGAAGGAGTTGGGCAACATCACTGAATATATCCTGCTAAAAATCATAGGACTATGCACATAGCGCTGCTTCACTCCATTGGTGGGTGGGAAACAGTGAGAGCATCTTTCATTATCCGGAAACCATGCAAGCATGTCATCATGGAGTTGGCATACAAAACTGATGAACTTCTCCAGGCAACCAAATTTTACCATCATCTTCCACAAGACCTCACAACTGACAGTATCAAAGGCCTTGGTCAGATGTTTTGTACAGACCTCATCTCCTGGAGGTGTTGGGCAGCAAATACCATTCCTCAGCCCTTTTGGAAGCCACCCTGGCTCTTGAGTAGATGGCCATCTTCCAAGTGAAGGATCAACCTATTAAGGAGGACTCAGACAAGAATCTTGCTGGCAGTGATTAAGAAAATCTCCCCCCCCCATTGTCACAAGATGACTTATTTCTTTTAGTCATCTTGCCTTGGGGCCTACTACTTTGGTTGATTGCCAATGTTTAGCTTGGAGAGGATAGGTCTGTGATTGGTGCAGCATTCTTCACCACACATCACCTTCGTCCCTCTCACAGACAGGCTTTTGTAAATAATTTTCTATCACAGGACATATCTCTGCAGTCTCATGATTGACCAAATACGTGTAGAAAGAGTCCTTATTAACTTAATGAAAAAAACTTAATTTGCAATTTTGATTAAGACTAAGATTGATAATGACCATGCCTTCCTTCTACGTAACTTTTCCTCCCTGGATGTGTGTGTGTGTATGTGTGTGTGTGTGTATGTGCGCATGCGTGCCTGTTCTCTTTCTCTACTCTTCCCTATCTTGTCTCATTCCTCCATCTTTTTTTGATGGATTATTATCCATTTTCTACCCCCTTTGTGTGGGTGTAACCCAGGGCTCTGACCTTGCCTTTTTTAAACAACTCTTCCTATCTCAATGATCTCATCTGCTCCCATTGCTTCACCTTTATACAGACAATTATCAGGTCTCTGTGTCCTGTCCCAGTCTCTCTCTTGAACTCGAGTCCTATGTGGCCAACTTCCTGTTGGGCAGTTCTAACTGGATGTCCATTGGACTTCTCAAAAACAACTTGTCTGAAGTATAATTCATTTTTATTTTCTCTAAACGAGCCTCTCTTCCTAACTTCCCTATTTCTATTATTGTTGTTGTTCAGTTGTTTCATTAGTGTTAGATTCTCTGTGACCCCATCTGGGATTTCCTTGGCAAAGATACTGGAATGGTTTGCCACTATCTTCTCTGGCTCATTTTACAGATGAGGAAACTAAGCCAAATAAGGTTAAGTGACTTACCCAGGTCACATACCTAGTAAGTGTCTGAGGCTGGATTTAAATTTAAAGCTTCCTACCTCCAGGCTCAGCATTGTATTTGTTGTGCCATCTAGCTAACTCATATTTCTGTTGAGGACACCGCTATTCTTCTGGTCACCCAGGTTTGTACTTGGAGTACATTCTCAACTCTTGCTTCTCCCTCACCCTTCATACTGAATCCTTTATATCTCCACAATGTATCTCACATCTGTTTACTTTTTACCCTTTGTGTGCCTACTATACTAGTTCAATCCTTAATCCCCTGTCAGCTGAAGTACTGTAATATCTTCTAACTTGGCACTCATCTCTTCACCTGCTTACTTGGAAAGCACTATCAAATCAGTCCTAAGGAATCCTTGGCTTCCTTGAATGATCAGCTCAGCTCTGACCTTCTACAGGAAGAGAATCCTGGATCAAATTGCTATTGACCTTTCCCCCAAAAATCATTTTGTGTCAACTTCCCATATGTTTTGTATTTAATTTTCTGTGTACATGTTTTCTGCCAATAGGATGTAAGTACCTTGAGTAAAGGAACTTTCTCATGTTTGTCTTCAGACTCCAAGTACTTAGCATGGTCCCTGGCACATAGGCATTTAATAAATATTGTTTAACATTCATAGTACACAAAAGTTTTTGTTATCTGTTGATTGCTATTAACTTTTTTTTTTAGTTTAGTAGAATAAAATGTATTCTTAAAACCTGTACTGAGAAGTTGGTCTTCATGAAAATATTAAGATCACATAAGATTGCTAGGTGTGGTGGCCCACTCTTATATTCTCAATTACCAAGGAGGCTGAAGCTAGCAGCTGCAGTGGGCTATGCCAATTGGGTGTCTACACTGTATGTCATTAATACTTTGATCCCCCAGAAGTGAGAAGATACCAGGTGCCCCAGGAAGGGTGAACCTTCCTAGGTCAGAAGTACTCCTCTTCCTGAGTTCAAACTGGCCTCAAATACTTACTAGCTGTGTGACCCTGGGCAAGTCAATTAAACCTACTTGCTTCAGTTTCCTCGTCTATAAAATGAGCTAGAGAAAGAAATGACAAACCACTCCAAGAAAACCCCAAATGGGGTCATGAAGAGTCAGACACAACCAAACAACAACAACAACATTGATTAGATTATGGTTCTAAGACAGTAAAAGGAGGAAGGTCCAACAGCTTGGTTTCTAATCTTGGGATCAAGGTGGCTATTGAAAAAGTGTCTAAACTTATTCCCAGGATACTTAAGGGTTTTTTTTTTCTTGTTAAATTCTATAAATTGTAGATCCACAACTAAGGTCTTGGTCAAGTAATTAATCCATGTCCCAAGGCATCACAATTTTCATAAGAATTTATATTATTTGGGGGTTAAAACCTTTGTTCTCCCAGTAAGGAACCACCTTCCACCATTGCTAATCAGCACCTTATAGGCTTATATTTAGTTTGAGGGAGATGCTAAGTTGATTGACTCATCCAGTGTCAAAGGGGCAGCATGTGCCACAGACTAGACTTGAATCAACCACCTTTTTCTGTTTCCAAAGACAGTTTTCTGTCACATACACTATTTTAGCTCTCTGGTTATTATGGTTGTAACATGACTAGATTCAGCTCCCCACACAGGCACAGCCTAGGTGGTAACTGCATTGGACTAGGAATCAATAAACATGGGTTTCAAATCCTAGCTCCTTAGCAGCCTTGCTGTATGCATCAGGTTACTTCTTCGGGACTTACTTTTCAGGATGAGAAAATGAGGTGGTGGATCTCTCTGATCTCTGTGGAGTTCTTACAACTCGGAGTTTTTTTTTTTATTTTAAATCAGAGTTTGGGAACTGAGAGTTGAATAGGGATATTTTGATGGACAGATGAAAGGCCCTGTATTTTAGCCTCTTCAGTTTAATTAATAACTCTTCAATTTTACTTTTGACCTCAGTTTCATTTTCTGCCTTTGTTTTTCCTCCCATAGAGAAACTTGCTGTTGAAGAAACATTATCTCTCCTGTGTTCAGAGTTACAGGTAATGAGTGAGTTGGATGTATTGAATTTCCTTAATGTTGTGTGGCAATAGATATATTGGGAAGTCAAGTCACGGTCTTGTGTTCGGTACTGAGGTCAGAAAGAAGGGAACACAAACAAGAGGGAGAGGTAAAAAAAGACTGTGAAATGTCATATTTGACCTAAAACTGAGAATTATCCCTCCACATTCAGTCAATCCACACTGTTTCAGTATATATGTATATTATATGTATGTATATGTATATATGCGTATACGTGTATGTGTATATATGCATGTGTGTGTATGTATGTATATATATATTTCTGAGTAAGATGCACTGGACATTGGGGAATATCCAAGTCCTCGTTTTTGTAATAGGGGAGTTTTAATAGAAATACACGCATACACACACACACACACACACACACACACACACACATGTTAACTGCATGAAAAAGAAAGTGTGTAATTATAATTTATCTATATGCAGTCAAGATTTAGGAAAGTTGCTGGAACACAGAACTTTTTCTAAGAATCACTCTATCTCAAGGACTATAAAGTCCAGCCCATACCTGAACAAGAACTTCCTCTGTAACCTAATGGTTATCTTGAGGGCAAGGGTGTATTGTGTGGGTAAATATACAAATATAATATATTAATATAATAATATATTATATATAATACACTATTGTGATAAATGATAGATAATATGTAATATATATGTATGTACATTTGTGTGTGTATGTATATATATGTATGTGTGTATATATATATATATCCCTGCATATACAATGGGAATATATATGTATATGTGTATGTGTACACATTGATTTGCTTTTTTAAAAATCTTCAATGTTTAGCACAGTACCTGACACTTATTACGTACTTAATAAATGAATATATGTTTGTTGACTTGACTTTGAAGACACCAAGCAGGGAACCCCACTACCTTCTGATGTAGCCCATTCCATTTTGGATAATCCTAACCATTAGGAAAAATTTTTCTTCATATTAAGCCTGCTGGTTCTGCTGTCTGAGGCCAATCAAAAAAATCTAATACCTGTTACAAATGCCAACACTTCAAATAATTCAACAGAGCTGTAATATGTACCTTGAAGATTCTCTTCTTTAGACTAAATGTCCCTAGTTCTTGCATAAGTTGCAATACGACATGATCTCCAAGTCCTTCACCATTCTTGTAGCCTTCTTCTGGAAATGCTGTAATCTGCTGCTACCTTCCCTAAAATGTACGGTCCAGAAATAAACACAGTATTCCAAGTATTATCTGACCATGGTGGTGTACATTATAACTATCAAACAGATATGATACTTCTTTTAATGCAGCCTGAAATCTCATTGGCTCTTTTGGCTTCCAAATTGCACTACTAAGTGCTGGACTTGGAGTCAAGAAGACCTGACTTCAAACCACACTCAGATACTTAATAGGTGTGTGATCCTGAGCAAGTCACTTAACTGCTGTCTGCTTCAGTTTGCTAATCTGTAAAGTGAGGAGAATCATAGCACCTATTTTGGAGAGTTGTGTGGATAAAACAAGATAACAAATGCAAAGTTCTTTTCAGACCTTAAAGAGTTACATAAATGCTAATTATTCGTACTATTACTATTGACTTACACTGATAATAATGCTAAAATATAATCAAACAGAGCCCTCTTTTTTTAAAATTTCCTCTTTTATTGTCATAACTCTTACCATCAGTATTGACATTTTAGGTCCCAAACATTGGAAGCCCTACCATGTCACCATTGTAAGCACTTAGCTTGACTTCAAGATAAAAGATGATGCATACCTGACACCCACAGTATTTGGGACAGTAGGAACAACTCAATTTCATTCAGAGAAGCTGCTTACAATGTTTTGATCTCTGGAAATTGGAAATGCTTTTAGCCTGAGCAATTTAAAACACACAATAGCATTCCAATTCAATACATCTGAACTTCCAAAGGCAGTGGCTGACAAATGAATAAGTCTGTAACAGCTCCCACAAACTGAGGGTATTTCCTGCTGCATCCAACAGTGTCATCTCCAAGGATGAAATCAGATACTTGTAGATGAAAGGGCTTTCTTTGTCCAATAAAGAAAATAAAGAAATGGAAACAGGAAGAAAACAAGAGTTCACTTTATAATTCATTCTCTATCAGTTAGATGCCTGGGTACTGCAATGTGCTTGGATTGGTGAGGGTTTTAACTGGAAAGGTCAGTTATCAGGGTGCAATACTAAAGGGAAAGTTGAGAATCCTGTAAAAGATACCCTTTCTGGGTCAGAGTTTCATTATCTGACAAATGATGGAATTATATTAAATGATCTCTAAGATTGCTTATTTAATACCTGGCATTTACCCAGAACTTTAAGAGTTGCAAAACAAATTAAATGTCTCATTTAATCTTTACAACAACCCTGGATGCTAGGTGCTAATATTATCCCCACTTTTCAGAAGGTGAAAGTGAGACTGAGGGAGGTTAAGCCCAGGAACACATGGTTTTAGATTTAGAGCTAGGAGTTTGGGGTTCTAATCTTGTCTCTGGTAATTATCCCCACTGTGGCCATCAACAAGGGTCAATAAGCTTCCATTTCCTTATCTGTTACATGATGTGTGTTAGAATATGTGATTTCTAAGTTCCCATTCAGGTCTGAAACTCCATTGGTCCTATAATTCTAGCGAAAACATTCCATGCAATAAAGTTTATAAAATTTATTTTTAAATAAATTTTAAAGAAAAGGAAAAGCTAAACATGGTTTTCATTTGGACATGGAAAACCCAGCTTATAGGAAAATGTTCAGAAGATTTTGGCGACTCTGGGGTAGTTGGCTTTGTTTTGTAAGATGTAGAAAACCTAGCAGAGATCATCTGCTCCATCCCTTTGTCGTTGGAAGAGGAAAGCTGGGTCAGGCAGGATTCCTAGGAAAAGAGTGGTTAGAGGGTAAAGTTGGGATAGAGGTGGAGTGGATTAGCCACTCATCCCTAACGTCACCTTTAAGCAGATGAGCCAATTGTGCAGACAAGGTGGAAGAAACGTCTCCTGCTACCGCAAGCCACAAAGTAATGGCATAGGTTGCCGTGTGGAGTTGGTAGGTAGAACAGTACCACCTAGTGGCTGATGTTGAGCAACAAATAAATGAATACTCTCAAGGCTCCCTTTCTCTTTCCAAAATAGAAAGAAATAAATCTTTTATGGTTATTTAAGGTCGTTTTTACAAACACATAAAAGTCCACAGTGGTGTTCTAGGCAGATTTATGGGGAGTTTATTGAAATGCCTCCCTTGAGTCTTAAGTCCTTCTCCCCACAGCCGAAGTTAACTTATAAAGGGGAAAAAATGTGGAGTTGCCAGCAGATTGAAAAATAAAAATATCTCAGAAGAACAGGCACTATTTGTTATTGGTAAACATGAGTGTAGCCTCCCCAGGAACAAAAGATGGGATTCCTTGGCACATTAAGGACAATCCAGGAAAGGTAGAGGTGTTTCTGCATTTACAGTATCATAGAATCTTAGTGATGTCAAAGATCATGTACATCATATATTTGACCACTCCACCCCAGTTGAAGCAAGATTGCCTTAATCATTATCCCTGACAAATAATGGTTATTCAGTCTTTATTTGAATTCTTTCAGTGACAGGGAAGTCACTACCTCAGAAAACAACTTGTATCCCCATTCTTGAAAAGTTCTAGCTGTAGGGAAGTTTTAAGTCAAGCAGTCATTGTTTTATGGAAGCTTTGATCTTTGCCCATTCCTTACTAGAATCTGTGGAGACCACAAGTCAGTCAGTCAATAAATATTAAGCATCTACTATATGCCAAACACAGTGATGAGCAGTAGGGATGCAAAGAAAGTCAAAAGACAATCTCTGCCCTCCAGAAGCTCACAATCTCATGAAGAAAGACAGCATATGAAATAGAAATTGTAAAGGTGGGAAAAGTCTACATGTGAGGGGGCATGATAAAGTCCAGAGGAGTGTAGCTAGATGGGAAATGATGAGATGGCTGCACTGGGAGGATCTGGGAGGAGTTTTTTAAGGTCCAACTCAACCCTCTCCAATCAGAGGGAGTGAGGGGCAACAGAAATATTATATCTAAGAGTTTTGCTGATCTTCATTGATAGGAGTTTCCTTCTGAAGAATTTTCCATGACAATGAAACCACAGGTTTGGTTAAAAAAAATGATAAAATCAAATCATTTCTCTAGAACTTTAAAGTCTTTGAAACTCTTCCATCATACCTCTAAGGTAGACTGTACAGATTTAATTACTCCCATTTTACTGATAAAGGAAACTGAGAACCTGTAAGGAAAAGTATTTTTACCCAAGGTGACACACTCACTAATAAAGCCAGGATATATAAGCTCTAGACTCTAGAAGGAGAGGAGGAAGGGGTCCTAAAGGCTGTCAAGTCTAACCCTTTCATTTTCCAGATGAGGAAACTAAAGCTTAATGAGATGGAATGATTTACTTAAGGTCACACTAGTAATTGACCTAGAATTCTAATCTGAGTCTTCTGAATAGAAAAATCAATGTTCTTTCCACTATTTCTACTCTATATTGACCATGGACATTTTATTTTTTTAGATTAATTTAATTTTCAGGACCAAAGTTTTTTTGTCCTCCCCACCACCTGTGAAAGAAAACACACAAAAAAAGTGTTAAATATATGCATAGTCAAACAAATTTCCATATTGGCCATGCCCAAAAATTAATTTTAAAAATATGCTCAAGCTGCACTGAATATTTCAGTGATTTATTGAAATTGTGTTTAGTCATCGTGTTGATCAGAGTTCCTAAGTCTTTCCCAATTGTTTGTCTTTATGATATTTTTGTTATTGTTTAAATTATTCTGGTTCTGGTCACTTCTCTGTAGATTAGTCCATACATGTCTTTACAAGCTTCTGTGAAAGTCTCACTTTCATCATTTCATATAGTACAATACTATTCCATCACATTCGTACACCATAACCCTTTTGGCTATTTCCCAGTTAACGTACATCCTCTTAGGTTCCGATTCTTCACTACCACAGAAGAGCTGTTAAAAATACATTTGATCCCTTTGTGGCAAAGTCTTGGTTTCAGTATCTCTGGGTCAAAGAATCTGCATAGTTTAGTAGTGGTTGTGTCCCAGACTATTAAACTGGCAGGAGCCTTAGAGATCACCTAATTCTCACTGCATCCATTTTACAAATTGGAAAACTGAGACTCAGAGATCTGGAATGACTTGCCTGACATTACATGTCTAGTAAACATGATTTTGATCTTCAAACAAAAGCTGCATAATCTTTTGTTGAGTTTGCTGTAGGGTAGATTACTGTGCAGACAAGAATGAGAAGAGTGTGACATAATCTAACAAACATTTACTAAACCCTTGCTAGTTGTGAAGCGTTTTGTAAGGTTGTGACAACTTTATATTGTTTGATGTTATTTTTTAATTATAGTCTGATGCCATATTATAGGGACAGGACTCCAATAGGGAGTCATTTAAACTAACTAGTCCTAATGCCCACAGAAACACATAGGAAAAACAGTCAGTTCTATTTTTCCACGGTTAATTTTGTATCAGGCAGATGAGTCTTCTCGTTGTTTAATGGGATGAACTCTTGACTACTACAGGGGCTTTGAGTCATTTTCCTTATGCTGAGTTAGTTAATTACCCCATCAGTTTGTGGCCTTAATAAAGAAACTCCCCCTACCCAAACCTGGTGTCAATAGGCAAACTGGAAAGCTTTTCCTCCACATCTGGGTCTGACTAGGAATGTCCCCTCGTACATCTGGTTCTGATTATCACACCCATTTTTAGGGTATATTATCTTTCCACCTGAACTCCAACTTTGAACGTATTCCCTCCCCATATGACTCCTCCACCCTCCAGCTGGGGTGAGTTTCTCACATATGGGACCAAGGCTCTGTCTATTTATATTGCCATAGGGTGTACATGATTTGTTTGCCTGCGTACGGCGTCACATAGCAATAAAGGTCATGATTGTATCATTTCCTAAGTACAGATTTTCTAGAAATCCCAAATGCAGGTATTTGCTTTAACCTGAGCTAATGTGCCTGCTTGGAGGTACAATGACAGAATATAAATAAAACAGCTCCTGCCCTCCAGGGCATTACATTCAAATAGAAAGAATGCTGGAGATGGAATTAGGAGACCTGAATTTCAGTCTTCCTCTCAAAATTTACTGTTTCCTCATTTCTGAAAATAGAGGGTGGGATGAAATGGCCTCTGATGTCCCTTCAAATTTCAGATCTAGGATGCTAAGATCTTCAGTGATCCACTTTTCCCTCTTAGCTTCCTCTTCTGTTAAATGGAGGGATTGGACTTAGTGAGATGACCCTCACCTCTACACAATGCCATCTAAATCTTATGACCTGTGGCTTCCAGACTTAGAGCTCTTTCACTATACCAGTCTTTGTGAAATAATGGAATAAGGGTTTTTGTTTGTTCATTTTGAAGAAGTTAGTTAAGGATCTTAACTTAGGAAAATTTCATGGGAAAGTTGGGACCAGGAGGATTTCGTGTCTTGACTTGATTCCTTTCTCCCCCCAGCTGCTGAACAACCCAGAGAAGATAGCTGAGCAGATAAGTAAGGATCTCACTTGGCTTTGCTCACACCTCTTGGAACTGTGGACCCAGTTCCTGGAAGTGGTGTCACTGAACCCTGAAGTCACAACATATCTCAACAAGGAGCACCATGCTCTAAGGGTAAGGAGAGAAAATAGCTTTGTGAATTCCTTCTATGTGTCTACCAGTAATTTTTGGATCGTAGAAGCTGAAAGGAGACACAAACTGGATTGGACTCGTTGAAATCCACTGGCACCAGCATGTGAATACAGTTGGGGACTTCCATTTTAGAAGGGAAGTGGGATGTTATAGGCAAAATATTAGAATAGTCATCATGTTCTCCTTTCTTGATAACAGGGCTACTTGGGAATGAAAAGAAGTGTGGTATAACAGAAAGAACAGTAATTGGAAAGTTTGCAGGCAGAGTTTGAATCCTGACTTTGCTGTTCATTACCTCTGGGACCTTGGAAAAGTTACTCTACTTTACTGGGTTTCAAATACCTCTCAGTAAAACGAAAGCACCACATTCTTGACCAGCAGCCACTTCAGTGTCTGCATACTTCTCTTTCTGTCTTCCTAAACTGCCCTGTGTTCAAAAAAGGACCCAATGTGACTTTTGGTTGGTTTTCTCATTCAGAATTTGGTTTGGCACTTTTTTTTTTATGTAGTTGTAGAGAGGATGTGTTGAAAGAGCTTGGCAAACTTGCCAGCCTCACTCTGTCATCTTGGCTTTGCCCCCCAGAATGAATTTCTTGTAAAGCTTCCTTGGCATATGTTTATTCAGTCTCTATTTATAGGTAAGGTCAAGAACAACTCTTTTTTTTCTTCACTTACACAGTACTTTTCCTATTTTCCAGGAACTTTTGAAGGTCATAGATAGCGATTCAATAATCACATCTACTGGTCCTCTCAGTACCTTGGGATGTAGCTTGTCCAGGCCTGATTGCTTAAACTCGTTGAGGGAAGGGAGACGTTCTCTTCACTAACTCCTTATTTATCATAGGTTTTCAATTCCTGGTTAAATATTAAATTAATTTTGTTTCTTATGTGATTATTATTCTACTTCATACAGAAAACTGAAATAAATAGTTAAGCAGTTCTGCCTTTTAAAATCACTAAGCCATCCATCCATTTTTCCCCTTCTTTGATCTTCCTTTTGCCTTAAAATAGCTCAAAGAAGTCCTTTTTCCGTGTAGTATTTTAACACATACAATAAGATGGAGATTGGCTATAAATAAGCATTGTTCCTAGATCCCAAGGGACTTGAGTGATATCTGGTTAATAAATAAAAACTGCTCCAAGACTCCAAGCTTACAAGGAGGAAAAATAGAAGAAAAATGAAGAAAGAACAACAGAAAGTACAGAAAGAAGTGCTGCTGCTGTGGAGAAAGAACATGCTTGCCACCCCTGTTTGCTCCTCAGAAAGATCACAGATTATATGATATAACTGTGTATACTAGATTCCTAAAGAGGCTCTCTGCTCCCATCCACTCCCAAAGAAGAGAATGCCTCTTGAAGGGTGGAACATAGAACATTAGAGTTTCAAGGAATCTCAGACTTCAGCTCAGGTAGCACTGTGATTTATCAAATGAAGGAACTGAAGCCCAGAAGAGAAAAACTAAAGACAACACAGTGAGCCAACATGAGAGTCAGGACTCCTGTTTTGTAAATCCTGGCACAGGGATATTTCTGTTACAAAGTCCCCACCCACCCCCCAAAAAAGTACACATTACCACATCACCCAGGCTGAAAGGGATGGAGAATAAAAGGGGAATATTGGTGATTCCCAAAGATACATTTCTCCTCAGCTAAGTACTGATGTTACTCCTCAAATCAACATAAACGATTGATTGGGGACATTTAAATGATCAGTAAAAAGTCATATGATAAGGTTTAGCCAACCAAAATGTTCATTTTGGGAGAACTCCTAGGTTTAAGATAATTTATCATTTTCTTTCCTAGGTCAGAAGATTTTCAGAGGCTTTCTTCTACATGGAACATCAAAAGCTTTCTGTCCTGACATTTCAGGAAAGTGTGTAAGTGATTTTATGCCCTCAAATTACACATACATACAAACAGACACAAGTACATATGCACACACACACACACATACATATATGTATAAACACCTATGTATTTGTGCGTATGTGTAGGTACACATGTTTATACATAAATGATATATATCTATGATATAAATCATATATATTGTGCATAACATAAAATAGATTAAATATAAGATGATATATACATATATATATTTATATTAATTTACCAATTCATCCAAAACACTTATATCAATATTCTGCTGCATGTTTTGCCATATCCTACACACTGAGGGAGCATAGCTTCATAAAATAAAGCATAGCCTCTGCCTTCAAGGAAATTATAACCTGGCACAGGAGAGAAGATATGTATGCAGACAATGATAATATAGATTAGAATAATATAGGTACAAAATAAAGGCACAAACTATTGTAAAAGAAATAGATGTAGAAAATATTATTTCTGCCTGAAGAGGGAAATCAGAGAAGTCTTCATGAAACAGGTGGTTTGTCAAGGGTGTGGTGGGTCCAGCTCAAACCAGCTCATGAGAACCAATTCTTAAATTTTTAGTGTGAAAATTTTCACTTCAGAAATCAGCAAAAACTACAAATCAGGGCTTGATTTATTATTTTGTTGATTATCTTAATTTAAGAAAGTGATGGAAAATGTTAATGGTGCAAATTAAACTTTAAAATCTGTCCTGTGTATATGCATGTATATATATGTATACATATATGTGTGTGTATTTTTCCTGAAGCACTACTTGTTAACAAGCACTCCAATGATTTTGTAGATGCAGATATTTGATTTCAATGATACAGCCAAAGTCTCCAAAATAAGGGACTTAATGGTGAATGTTCTCGTTCAGGAGAATATAAACACATGTATCATGAGATAAACTTCCAAATGGTGGATTGGATCCGAACTGGAGAGAGTAGCAAGTGTCGAAATCATTTGTTTACACATTTATATATCAGAGGGACACAAACAGAGCTATAGGTTAGGAACTATATGCATGACAGATTGGAGGATGCAGAGACTGGAGGCAAGGAAGTAATGCAGCTAATAAAATAGTCCAAAGTAAAAATGTCGAAAGCCTGAACTAGGTTCATCCAAATAAACAAATGTAGTTTTAATTATTCAAGGATATTTGTTTCTTCATCTCTTATTATGGAAGATCTGAGTTTGCCCTTCCCCCTCCATGAATCTGTCTTTCTTTCCTTTCCTGGAAAGATTCAAACAAACATTTCACAGGAGGAAACTGAGTGGGTGGTATACAAGCCAAACATGTTTATCAAATTTAACATAATTCTATAGAACTGAATAAAAGAGAATTACTGCCTTCCCTAGAACCATACCCACTATTCTTTAAAGAATAATTTAGAAGCAAGTGGTGGGGTAGATTTATCTGTATAGGAACACTAAAGTACTCAGTATCTTGCTAAACTAATTTAGCTTAAGAATTAAAAAGAACCCTAGTTGTGAATGCAAATGACTGTCCTTTTTTCTCCTCTTTTATAAAGCAAAAAAAAAAAAAAAAGGAAAACATCATCAAGGTTGCAGGGTGGGACATGGAATAATGTGGAGAATGGAATCAGGATTCTCAAAGATGCTTTTCTTCTCTGCTAAGTATAGATCTTACTCCTCAAGTCAACGTGAATAATCGAATAGGAACATTTAATTAATTCACTAATTAATTGTTCGGTAAAGTCATATTTTTAAATAATATTTTATTTTCCCCCAATTATATGTAAAAAAATAAATTAACTTTTTTTAAAGTTTTTAGTTTTAAGTTCTATCCTCTCTCTCCTCTCCCATGTCTACCCCTCCCAAAAAAAGGTCTTCTGCTCTCTTCCTCTTATTCTTCCTTATTGTTATCCCTCTCTTTTTCTTCCTTTTTCTTTTATTTTTATTATCCCAAAATCTTATAACACAAAAAGAAAGAACCTTGGAATAGAGAATGTGAGGGAACATAGTACAATGGAAAAGGCGTTGGCTCTACATAGGACCTAGACTCGAAAATTGCCCCTGACATTTACTGCCTGTGTGACTTTGTGCACGTCACTTCATTTCCCTAAATCTAAGGTTTCTCATTTGTACAATGAAACAGTTAGATTAGGTGGCCTCTGATTTCTCTTCAAGATCTAGATCTATGATCCTAATGTCAGAACCTGGAATATTAGAGCCCAAAGAGATATTAGACGTAATCTAGGCTCCAAACTTCTACAATGCAAAACTATTGCCAAACATAGCATACCTAACCATTGTATATGTCCCACCTGAGATTTTTAACAATTAAAAAAAAAGCCTAATTAATGTGCATACATGAATTAGTATCCTGGGGAGACTAACCAGCTGCCTTCTACCACTATTGTGTAATTGACTATTGCCAGGCATCATTTTAGCAAACTTGGAAATGATTAGTAATGGTAATTATAACAAGAGTGACAGCTTGGTATAGCAGATAGAGTTGAACCTGGAGGCAGGAAGACCTGAGTTCAGGTCCCACCTGTGACCTAAACTGGCTATATGATGTTGGGCAAACCACTTAATTACTAAATACTGTAGGCAATTTTCTATGAGTTGAAGAAAAAGTATTTACCAATGGCCTCAAGTTGGTTCCTAAACTCTAATTGTAAAAAAGAAAAAAGTCACACAGGCCACACAGATGGATAATTAATCATGTCAATTGCTATTGAAAACCATAACTATCTCTCATGTGATCTAGTTCTCTCATTAAAAAAAAAATTGGGGGGGCATCTAGGTGGTACAGTGGATAGAGCACCTGCCCTGGAGTCAGGAGGGCCTGGGTTCAAATGTGGCCTCTGACACTTGACATTTACTATGTGACCCTGGGCAAGTCACTTAACCTTATTGCCTAGCAAAAAAACAAAACAAAAAAATAGGGAAACTGAGACCAAAAGAAGTGATAGGGCTTGCACAGGGTCACATTATAATATTAGGATCAGATTATAAAGATGACCCCAGACTCCTTGACCCTATACCATGCCCTTTCACTACCACAATTTGCAAACTAATAATGTGACGATAAAGAACATCATCCTTTCTCAATGATTTATCCAGTGAGAGATTGCTGATCATTTTTAAAAGTGTATCTGGTTTTGCTCCTGAAAACATACTCTATTGTTTTCCCCTTCCAGTATGCTTCAGTCACATCTAAAAGTGAATTAAGATGAAATCTTTCTAAATACAATTTAGAAAACATGGAAATTTGTCCATCATTTAAAACCAAATTTTTCAAGTGATATTTAAAACATTAATTTCACCTTATACATATACTCTCAGTTTCTCTTTCTCCCTCTTCCTCCTCATTCTCTTCCTTTTATTCTTGTTCCTTCTCTCATTCTTCCCCATCCATCTCTGTCTTTCTGTCTTTATCTTTGTCTCTCTCTGCCCCTCTCTCCTCTTTTTCTGTCTCTCTGTACACTCACTCTGCTTCTCTCTGTCTTTCTCTGTTTCTGTCTCTCTTTGTCTCTATCTCTATATCTCTGTGTGCCTCTCTCTCTGTCTCTCCCTGTCTCTGTCTCTGTTTTTGCATCTTTTGGTCTCTGGCTCTCTTCTTCTGTCTTTCTGTTTCTCTGTCTCTGACTCTCTGTTTCTCTGTCTCTATCTCTCTATGTCTCCCTCTGTATCTCTCTCTCCTCCTCCCCCTTCTTTTCAGTGACACAGAAGTTATTACTTCAAGGTAGGTAATAAAGAACAGTTCTCATTTTTAGGAAATTCTTTCTTCTGTCAAAGTCTGCCTCCCTGTTTACATCTGGGGCCATCTCCAGTTGTCCTGATATCATGCCACTGGACCCATATGGCTCTGGAGGAAAAAGTGAGACTGGTGACTCTGCACAGCCCTCCCTCACTTAAATCCAATTCACTTGCAAGGCATGGAATCACCTTCTTATGCCATGGTCCTCCTCAAGAACAAAGGAGAAGCAACAGCTTCCTGTTATTTCTGTCCTTCTGCCTGATGGATTCTACCTTTGAATTCACACAAATTAAGACCCATCCTTCTTTGATAAAACAGCTATTTGAAGACAGCTCACATGTGCCCAAGACTTCTACACTCTAGGTTATCACTTTCCAAACATTTGGTCTTAAGACCCCATTACATTCTTAAAATTTCCTGAGAACCCCAAAGACCTCTTATTAATGAGGACTATAGCTATTGATATTTGCCATAGCAGAAATTAAAACATTTGAACGATATGGTGAACATAGTTTTCACCTCACAGACCTGAAAAGGTCTCAGAGATCCCTATACCACAGTTTGAAAACTTTTGCCCTTGGCGAAATCTCCTCAACTTCTTCCATAGATAATCATAACCCATGGTTTTAGCACCCTTCCTATCATGCTCTCCATCTTCTGAGCACTCAACCTACTTGTCAGTGTCTCCCCACAACCCCAGTGTGGTACATAGAATTCATCTGACAGTACAGGCTTACAATAGGAGTGCCATCTCCCTCACTATGGTTGTGATGCTTCAATGAAGGCAATACTAGTTCTCAACTGTATCACACGTTGACTCAACTTAAGCTTGCTATCCACTAACGTACCCAGGTGTTTTTCATAATAATAATTGTCTCTCCATGTTGCCTCCACCATCTATCTACCTGTGCGTTCAATGTATTTTAAACTCAGATAGAGACATTTACATGTGTACATTATATTTAATCTTATTCAATCCAGACCATGGTTCACACCTGCCATGACTTGGTGGAAATAGGGCAGGAGGTCTTTATTCTGACATTCAGTGGATTAGTGCTTACTGGAAAAGCAAACATGCTCAAAAAGTTAGAATAAGGGGCATCTAGGTGGCGCAGGGGTAGAGCACCAGCCCTGGAGTTCAAATATGACCTCAGATACTTGACATATAGCTGTGTGACTCTGGGCAAGTTACTTAACCCCATTGCCTAGGTGAAAAAAAAAGTTAGAACTAATGTTATATAACCCAAATGCCTTAAATAAACCAGGCCCAAT